AAAAGGAAATAAAATGCTAATACCTCCGTAATACTTCCCTCTTCTCAAAACCTGTTGCCACTGTTACCTGCCTCCAGTGAATTATTCCTCCCAGCAAGGAGTTGTTAAGGAGTACCTCCTGGGCAGCTCCTTCCCTGCCTTTGGTCATTCCCACCTTTTGGCCTTATAGTAAGGATGGGAGGAGGAGGCTGGAGAAGAAGGGAAACCGGAAATCTATAAAAGGGGCAAGATACCCCAACTCCCTTGAACACCAGCTCTGAACTCCCTCTTCTCCAGAGAAGAGTCTCTCTTTCTCTGTCTCTCTCCCTCCCCACAACACTTCTCTCTCTTCTGCCTTTAAAAAAATAAATAAATAAATACTTTTCGCTCTTGCCTCGGTATTTCTCAGGTATTTAATCTTCAACATGGAGGTTGGGGATACCAGGGACCAATCCTGATTTTCAAGACCAGTTTCACTTAGACCAATCTGTTACCTAAACATCTGGGCCAAGAATAGGTTCCTCAGGAACTCCAGAGAGATGACAGCACGCATTCTCCTTCTACTGGTTGAGCACTGCCTTGTACCTAACCAGGGTGCCACCAGGGCCCCCAGGGCTTTCAATCCTATAGGTTGCTATTAAGTTAGATGGGGTTGTCCTAGAGGTCCAGGACAATAGCAAGGAGAGGAGGAAACTTTCTTCTCTTGGGGTCAGAGTGATGAGCTCAGTTGGGAAATCCCAGTGACGAGAGAGTGAAATGGAGTTATTTCAATATCAGTCGGTATCTGTCTACCCACACCTCCACTTAAGGAAACTACACCACCCGCTGCTCCCCATTTCCAGGTGGTCATGCACACCACAAGAAGGTGCTTCCCTTGCCACATCCTACTCCACCAAGGATGGGCTGAACTAAGGCAGCCAGTTCTCAGGTGACACAAGACATGAACTGGCATGAAGAGATGAAAGAGGCCAATCAGATTACCTCTGCTGGGAATTTGGATTGAGAAACAGAGAACTCAAGCTGGTTATCAGTAGGTCACAGTTTATCAAAAGGTCATGTCTAGCAAGAGAGGCTGGGAAAGCCACGGTGAACACTGAGCAAGGACAGGATTCTGCTCAGTGGGAAGAAGAAATTGGAACAGACATATAGAAACAATAGAAATTCAAAGGAACTTAAAGAAATAAGAAACCTAGTTAATTGTACCAGGTAAAAGCAGATTATAAATTCTCCCCAGTTCAAAGAATATGTAATTTTTTTTTCTGCAGGGGTGGGGGAGTACTGGGGATTGAACTCAGGGGCACTTGGCCACTGAACCACATCCCCAGCCCTATTTTGTATTTTATTTAGAGACAGGGTCTCACTGAGTTGCTTAGCATCTCATTTTTTTTTTTTAAAGAATTCTTTTCCCACACATCTTTGCCATCATTTATTGTTTGTGTTTTTTTTTTTAAAGAGAGAGAGGAGAGAAAGAATTTTAATATTTATTTTTTTTTAGTTTTCGGTGGACACAACATCTTTGTTTGTATGTGGTGCTGAGGATCGTGAGGCTGGCTTTGAATTTGCAATCCTCCTGCCCCAGCCTCCTGAGCTGCTGGGATTACAGGCATGCGCCATTGCGCCCTGCTATATAATCTTATTTGAACAAGCTTAAGAGTGTCTATTCCTGGTGATAATATACCCATAAACAATAAAATAAAATCAACATCAAACAAGCTCTTATTGTATTTAATGTACTTGCCAAGTGTTGTTTCTTTGTCATTTGTACTCACAACTACGCTAAAAATGTGTATTTTAGGATCTGCCAGATCCACTTTATCTTTCTTAGCTTAGAAATAAGGAAAATAAGTGGTCTGGCCTCCAATGGTAACTATTAGTCACAGAAGGGACTAATAGTCCCTTGCCACATCCTACTCCACCAAGGATGGGCTGAACTAAGGCACTTACCACTTAAAATGTGGTTAGTGCAACTTGAGATGTGCTTCGAGGGTAAAATACACCCCGAAGTTAGAAATATAGTATAAAAATTTTAAAAAGAGTATAAAATGTGCCTCATGAATAATTTTTAATTGATAACATGTTGAAACAACATGTTGGATATACTGGATTGAATAAAATATAATATTAAAAATTTCACCTGTTTCTTTTAACTTATTGATTTTAGATACTAGAGAAAATTAAAAATTTTGTATGTGGCTGTTACTTGTGATTTTGCATTGTTTCTTTTGGATGGTACTGGTCCATTCTCCCTTCCCTTGAATCTGGGAAGGACTTGTAACCTGCTGTGGCCAATATGATGGAGTGATGCTATACCAGTTCTGGCATAGACTATGAGAGGCCTGGCAACTTCTACTTTTGCTCTTGATGCCAATCATCAGGCTGAAACTTTGACTACACTACTGAATGTGGGGTATGTGGAGGAGCCTCTAAGCACCAGGCATACAAGTGAGACCTTCTAGGACATTCTAGAACATTCCAGCACAGCCAAAGTGACCAGCAACACAGCCTAGTGAATGATCCCAGCACATGCTACGTGGAGCAACAAACTACTCAGCTGAACACAGCGCAAATGGCAGAACCCTAAGAGATATCAAATTATTATTGTTTCTAGTCACTAAGTTTTGGAGTGACTTAATACATACTTAAAGTGTGCTTTCTATATGACAAATCATAAACATACTTAAAGTGTGATTTCTGTATGCAAAATCGTGTGATGTCTATCACCCTGGGAATGAGTACATAATAAAGAATGCTTCCTGCCCTTAGTGAGTTTAAAATTCCAAGGGAACATTACACACATATATAAAAATAACTATCATGGGATATGGGAGCCCCGTGGACAGGTATTTTAAGTTGATGATCACAGTGGTAGTTGAGGGAACTCCCCCAAGGACTTCATCATGCTCAGAACTAGGATCTTCGTGGGCCCCCACCTGATAGTAACACTTTCTCTGATGGTTTGCAGCAAGACCTAGGGACTCAGATGTGGTTATTTTAGGGGCTGCTTCCACCTTTGGATATAGCCCTTTTCCTACAAAGAGGGAGATGACTACTTCAGCAATCTCTCTTACTCTCTTTAAAGCCAGATTCACAGGAACAATGCAAGCTCACAAGACAAGCATGATAAGAAAGAAAATGAGTTGCATATAGGGAGAGAGCATAGACAGTGGACTTTTACAAAGCCTTTTATTCTCATCTGGGGCAGACTTCCTGACATCTTTCCAAAGGTAGTTAATAAAAGCCTGTGGGGCTTTTTACCTCCTATTTTATTTTGAGGATGGACTCCCCATCCCCAACCCTTTGGACTTATCAAGGGCTTTAGAGTGGTTTTTTTTCCATGGAGGTCCCACTACCCAGCTTAAGGTGCCATTCTGGCATAATGGGTTTCCTTTGTCTCTAGTTGGCCATTTGCATCTCTGTGCTCTTCTAGCTGGGGGGGGACACCCACATGATTAGGCATGTGCCCCATGTGGGTTCAGAGTTCCTCATTTACATTTTACCACAATAGTAAATGGCTTTCAGCCTGTTGAGATGCAATTGCTAAACAGTAAGTAATTCAGCTGGAAAACCTGTGGGCCACCATTGAAAGCAATGAGAGGACAGGAAGAGGAGCTCAGGCTTGACTAGTGCAGAGCCTTTGCCACTTCTCACTCTTGGCTCTGGGTATTTCCCAGTGAGGCCCCTTTCCCCCCCACACACACTATGCCAATCACTGAAGTGAAGAGGTCTTCAAAAGAGAAAGAGTTTATTCACCAGGCTGCCAAAAGCGAGGAGGTAGGAGACGGAGACTCAAATCGGCTTCCTCAAGGGTAGGATTTAGGAGTATCTATGGGATATAGAAACAGGGTGGTCTGAGGTGTGGGAAAGGGTAATTGGAGGCAGGGAAATGATAAGTGATCAATGGTCTGGTTTTGGCCTATTTTTGCATTGTAAAACTTCACAACTTTTCATAGAATGCATGTTGAGAAAAATGGTGATATTACCATGCTCTGAGGATGGAATTTTAGGTTTGATTACTCATCCTTGGCTTCAAGGGTTTCATGAATAACCCAGGGAGAAAGGTTTTAGTAGGGTTTCAATAAATGGGACTGAAAGATGGATGGTAAGAATATCTGGGGTGGAAAGCAGTTCATGAGCTTAAGAAGAGAGGAAGAAAAACACAAAGCAGGTATGAAGAATGTTCTTCTGTGGCTGGAGCAAAGAGTGAGTAAAATCAGGTACAGAAATTAGAGGTTGGATAACTCTTACCAGTGGCCCAACTCTGAGTGTCCAAACAAATCAGATCTGGCTACTCACCCAAAAACCAAATGGAAAAAGTAATGGTGAAAAGCAGGAGAAGAACTTCGATCAGTATGTCTACACCAGGAAGACAAAGGGACCAGCCTTTGCAGCCCTGTCTTTGATAGTACTGATACAGGGTTCCAGATTATATAGACAAGAGGTAGTCTGGTTGAATATCTCAGGATTGTTCAGGTGGGGCCTTGTCAGTGATAAGAAAATTGCTGTGGCCTAGGGGTTAGTTTTGACTCATCACAAGACATTTATTGATCAGATCTATTGTTCCTGGTATCCCAGGTGACTGACTCAGAACAAAGGAAACAGATGCAAAATGGAGACAGAGATGTCAAGATTTTTGCATTTGCAAGTCCAAGTGAAGTCATGTTTTTAGCAAAAGCAGTCTCCAAGTCCTTGTTCTATAACCAGGTTACAGCCACACAGAGGGAGAGTTCTAGAGCTTAAGCTCTGGATGCATCCTGGTGATATTGTAATATGCATTTGACCCTCTTGATCTGTAGGTTCTAGATCCATAGATTCAATCAACTAAGATGGAAAATATTAGAAAAGATAAAGTTGCTTCTATACTGAACATGTACAGACTTTTGGGGGGGTCATTATTCCTTAAGTCATACATTAGAAAATCATTTATCTTGTATTAGGCATTATAAATAATCTAGAAAATATTTAAAGTATACTGGATAGTATGTAAAGATTTTATGCAAATACTATACCATTTTATATATATATAAAAGAAATACTCCAGATTTCAGGATCCTTGGGGATTCTGGAACCAGTCCCCCCAAAGATATAGAGGTGAGACTGCATATATTTTGATTTTCATCCATTTCATTTTAGATTTCAGAGCTCCTGTAATCCTTGTTATTTCCTAAGTGATTAGAGCAAGAATAATTCCTTTTGTTAAAGTATTTGGCTTTTTATCCTCAATTCCTTCAGCACCTTCAGAACCATAAAGGTAAAAGACAGTCTCAGTCTTGTTATTCACAACAAGCTCTTTCAAGCACACCTGAGTTTATGGTAATGAAGAAGTTTCTTTGAAAGGTCCCTAAATAACCACAGAATGGGGGATGGTTGCCAAAGAAACCAATTTTGTGTTCAGAGGCTTGAAAATTTTAACTCCAACCTCTGGAAAAGGGAGAGGGGCTGAGGTTAAGTTGACTGACAATGGCCAACGGCTTCATAAAACATGCCTATATAACGAAGCTTCTGTAAAAACCCCCCAAAGACCAGGTTCATTGAACTCCCTGAGAGCTGACACATGGTGGCTCCTGGCACTCTGGGCCCCTTCCCCCATATCTTCCCCTGTACATCTGTCTGATGTTCATGAGTGTCCTTTGTAGGTTCTTTACAATAAATCGGCAAACCTAAGTGTTTCCTGGAGTTCTGTGAGCCACTAGAGCCAATCAGTCAACCCAAAGATGGGGTTATGGGAACCCTGATTTACAGCCAACAGATTGGTCAGGAGCACAGGCAAAAACAACCCAAGTCTTGTGGTTAGCATTTAAAGGAGTGGAGATGTTTTGGAGACTGAACCCTCATCCTGTAATATCTGATGCTATCTCTAGGAACAAGGTCAGAATTACATTAAATGAGAGGGCACCCAGCTGATGACTGTTGCAGAATTGATTGCTGGCTCAATAGATGGGGGAAAGTCCCACACCGCTGATCCCAGAAGTCTCCTGTGTTGAGTGTTATGTTAGAGTAGAAGAAAAACTGAGTTTGATTTTTTTCCCCTATATTCGTGAGAATCCTTAACCCATTTCCCTCATTAGAGCAATGGCGGATAAAGAAGATCATGTCTTAGAGAGTTTCAGTGGCTTGTCAAGACCACAAAGTCAACTGGGCTTGGTGGCACAGACTTGTAATCCCAGCAAGCTGGGGGGTGGGGTGGGGACTGAGGCAAAAGGATCATGGGTTCAAGACCAGTCTCAAAATAAAAGAATAAAAAGAACTGGGGATGGATCTCAGTGGTAGAAGATCCCTGAGTTGAATCCCCAGTACTGAAACCAGAGTTTGAGATGAAACTTGGTTCTTCTCTTCTGCTGGTGGGTGGAGTCTGCATAAACTGCTGGCTTTCCGCAGCCAAGAAAGCCCACTTTAGTGTTAGCAGCTAATCACAGCAGAGCTTGCCTGGGTGTCGGCTCCAAGGGTGGCAACTGGCAAAGCCAGATTCTTTTTCACTACTCTCGAGTGGCACATTGCAGCTCTTAATGGAGGGCGATGCCTTCTAGTGTCTGCAGCAGACCCCAGGAACTCACCACCAATCTCTTTCTGGGTTCTTGTCTCGAAGATTCCAAGAATGAATCCACGGACAACATGGAAGACAAGAGTGAAAGGGGCAAAATTTATTTAAATGAGATGAAAAGAAACAGAGCTCCCACGGAGGTGAGAGGGGACCTTAGAGGGATTGTCACTTAAGTGTACTAGTATAGTGGTTTCTATAGCTCTTGGGCCAATTCTATTGGTCAAAATTTTTGCTAATCAAGTCTTGGAAAAGTACCAACGCTATTGATCAAAATCTACACTAAACAGTTATTGGGAAAGTAGCCACGTTATTGGTTTGGCCCAGGACTTTCTTAATTGACTCTGCCTTTTCAGCCCTAGGTTTGAGCCTTCCTGAAACCTCTATTTGGATCAGCAATCACTTCCATTTTCCCCCACTGCTCTGGAACAAAGACTTGCATGGAATGTTTGGAACGTTTCTACAGATTATTTTCTTGGAGTGATCTTTACATTTAAAAAAAAAGAAAGAAAGAAAGAAAACACTTAATGGGGCCCATTAATTATCCTATCTTATTCAGTACAAAAAAAAAAACCAAAAAACTTTTTTTTCAAAAAGCCACAAGGCTAGTAAGTAGCAGAAATGCGGACTGAAGCTCCTGTTTCGGTTGTGAAATCCTCTCCCAGGCTCTCTTTGGCTGCAGCTCTACCTACTTTGAGTTGTATGCTGGATGTAGGTGGCGCTTCCTGGAGAAGGTGCTACCTGCAAAGTGAGGCAGACACCTTCAGGGAAAACTCCTACATTAACGCTCCTTCAAAGTTTCCTGTCTTCCTGTCAGCCAAAACTTTTTGGAGAAACTGACAAAGAACCAGCCAAGGTCACCAAGCTACTCTGACTCCTGATTTTAGGGACCTAGATTGAATTGGTACGTTACGATATTAAACTGAGCATGCCCAGAATATTTGTGTCTGCTATCTTCCCCTTTTCCACATTGCTCTATGATCTTGAGCTGAGTATGCTCAGAAATGACCATCTTAAACTGAGCATGTTACCTGTGCTGGTCTTACTGCCTGAGTGGCCTATCTGAATTTTGACTCTCCCCTAGTCTTTTTCTTTCTTTCTTTCTTTTTTCTTTTTCTTTTTTTTTTTTTTTTTTTTTGGTACCTGGGATTGAACCCAGGGGAACTTAACCACTGAGCCACATCCCCAACCCTTTTTTACACTTTGTTTAGAGACAGGGTCTCACTAAGTGGCTGAGGGCCTCACTAATTTGCTGAGGCTGGCTTTGAACTCATGATCCTCCTGCCTCAGCCTACTGATCTGCTGCATGTGTGGTCACCACACCTGGCTCCCTGACCTTATCTTGATTGTTGTAAGGACAGGATGCCTGAAGGTCAGAAGTCCTGCTTCAGGTGGGCTGGCTGAAACTGAAACTAAGATGGCTGCCAAAGTGACCACCAGATAGTCTCTAACTTCATCAAAATAAAAGATATGAATATTCCTCCCCTTTGTTAGATGATGTCGTGGTTTGGATGTGAAGTATCCCACAAAACCTCATGTGTTTAGGTGATACAAAAAGGTGCAGAAAAGAAATTATTGGGTTATGAGAGCCTTAATCAATCAGTGAATTAATCACCTGATGGGATTGAGTGGTAATTGAAGGCAGGTGGTGTGTGGCTGGAGGAGGCAGGTATTGAAGGCGTGGCTTTGGGGTATATATTTATATCTAGCAATCGAAGATCTCTCTCTCTCTCTCTCTCTCTCTCTCTCTCTCTCTCTCCCTCTCTGCTTCCTGATCATCACGTGAGCTTCTTCCCTCTGCCACACTTTTCCACCATGATGTTCTGCCTCACCTGGAGCTCTGAGGAATGGAGCCTGCTATCTGTGGACTAAGACCTCTGAACATGTGATCCCCCAAATAAACTTTTCCTCCCCTACAATTGTGCTGGTTGGGTCCTTTAGTCGCAGCAGTGTAAAAGCTGACTAAAACAGATGATTCCCTTCCTCATATTTCCTTTACTTATGTCTGTAACCTTCTGATCCCCAAGGGGTAAGATGATGATTTGCAGTTGATCTTCCACTTCTCCTATTCTTGGCCAAGAATAAAAATCTCCTTCCCTGCTCATCAGTGTTTGGTCTTGTCAATGGTTCCAATGTTCCAAGAGAGAAAAAAGAACAGTTTTTGGGCTCAAAAATAGGAAACCAGCATACTCAGAAATGTGTCCCTACATGGGTCCCCGAATAAGAGCCCCAAGCTTCCTTTTCTCCTGAAGAGCAATGCTTTGCACATAACTCTAGTGCTCTCCTTGCTCATTGCAGATAATGGATCTTTTTCCCTTCTTTTTTTCTTCTGGTCGAGGTCATTGGCTTTGCACTCACCAAGAGAAGAATCCACTGTGTTCAGTGATAAGGGGACAGAGCTAGCCAGGCATGGTGGGGCCCACCTGTAATCTCGGTGACTTGGGAGGCTGAGGCAGGAAGATCACAAACTCATGGCCAGTCTCAGCAATTTGATGAGACCCTGCCTCAAAATGAAAAATAAAAAGGTCTGGGGATGTAGCTCAGTGGTAGAGCATCCCTGGGTTCCACCCCCAGTACTAAAAACAAAAAACAAAATGCAAAACAAGGGGCCAGAGCTGTCTGCTTTCCTTCTCCAGATGCAGTGTAATCAGTGTTGGTTCCAAACAACCAGTGGTGGGATTCATGACATGTGCCCTCTGTCCCTATCCCTTGCTGTCACGAACCCTGCTGGTAGGCCATTCCCAAGAGCTGATCAGGAGCCAAGTGCAAAAGGGGCCCCTTTCTCCTCGGCCTGACCAGCACCGACCACTTCCTCTGCTGGCATGATGTTCGGATTTCCCATTCTCCTCCCTGCCACATTTCCTGCTCCAAGTTACTTTTTTCCTAGGTCAACTCAGCTGATCTTTAATTCAGGCAAACTAAAGATGCAGAGAAATATGAAAACTGGCTGGGGTTATTTTGGTGGTCACGGTTATTTTGGCCCATTGTTCACAGCACAGAGATACTAGATAATTACCTAATCCTGCACCCACTCTGTCCCCTGTCCCAAGACCCTGCAGGATATTCTTTATGTGTTCTGCTTGCATCTTTTAGAAATTCTCTTAATCAAGTTCAAATTTGCATCTCCTCCCTGGAAAAGCCAAGTACAGGAAGCACTGCGGCTCTGGTGTATTTACCACTTTGTGCCAAAGATCACACTATGCATACGTCTCTTTGTATGGTCCACTGCTTGCTCTTACTTTTTCTTCCAGCCAACTGTCCCCCTCACTGCAAATCCTCTGCCACAGTCACACTGGTCTCTTGATTGTTCCCTGAATTTGTCTTGTGTTTTTCCACCTCAAAACCTCTGTCCCCACCACCTGCCCCTGTGGAATGTTCTCCCCACTTCTTTCCACCCAACCAAATCAGATTTATTTCTCTCTCATTCAACACCAACTGCAGGTCGGCCCCGGGCCAGCACTTTCACATGCTTTATCTCATCCTGCAAGGCCCAGCATAATTTCTTCTTATCTGTGAAGCTTTCGGAGGCTACCCCAACTGGAAGTGACCACTTCCTCCTTTTTCTTACAGTTAGAGTCTGCACTACTCATCTGGCACTTGATACATCCTGGTATCTTATAATTAATCATTCATTTGCGAATTCATTCATTTTTTTTAACAAAGGTTTACTGGATAATTATTATTTTCTGGTCATGATGATAGATGTTGGCGATGCTGAGATGAAGAAAACACCCTGATGGTCCCCAAGAAACAGGCTAGTGGTGAAAACCAACACCTAAGAATACATTTATCATATAATATGATGAGAACAGGTTGCACTTTAGAGGGGAAGCAGGGGAATCCCATGATGGATGAGTAGAAGGTGGTACAGAGAAGGAGGGGAGAAGGCACAGATTGAGGAGGGACAAGAAGAACAGGGGCCCAGAGCTCAGGAAGCACCACACATGTGGAAGCAACTCCAAGCAGCACCTCGATGCGGAGATACACAATGTCACTTAAGCATCGAGTGTGCAGGGTCTAGTGGGAGGACCTGAATAGCAATTTAGAAGCCTGGCTTCATCCCACGGGTCATGGCGTGCCATTAGGGGGTCAAACAAGGGACTGACTTACACTTTGTAGCTCAAGATCACTCTGGCTCCAGTGTGACACATGGATAAAATCAGAGAAGAGATCTGAGGCAGGAAACTGTTAGGAAGCTGACTGTAACCAGAGGAGGAGATGGTGACACCTGCCTATGGGAAACCAGAATATACCCCCCAAATAGGAAGGATGGTTGAGCTGAAGACAAGAAGCAGCAGCAGGGGCAGAAAGGCTCTCTGTCTGTCCCTATTTGCAGACAGGCAGGACATCAATTGCAAAGATGTCATCTCTCCCTTCACTGCCAGCAAGGATACAAGTTGATCAGTGGAGACCCCTGTCAGCTGGAGAAAGCACCAGAGGAACTGTGTGACACACCTTACGAACCACCCCTTAACTACCCTAGACCTCCCGCCATCTCTACTCCCCACAGTTTCCCTGCCTTTGGAAGCCTACGCCTGCTTTCCTTTGTCTGGCTGCCTCTCCAAATCACAGCTCTGAGTCACCTCTTACTGGGATTGCCCTATTGGGTGCTGTGGTCTGGATGTGGTTGGCCCCCTCTAAAGCTCATTGTCAAAATCTGACTGCTCTCGTGATGGTGTTGGGAGATGAGGCCTTGAAGGGTAGCTAAAAGAGGGAGTCAATTAAATCTTGAGGGAATAGGGTTGTGACCCCAAAAGCAGCTTGCTATAAATGGGTGCCGCCCCCTTTCTACCAATGTAGTTCAAGGTAGTTTGATTGATTCGTGAGACTTAAATGTTGGTGGCTTTCCAAAGGCATATCTCTGGCTCCGAACTCTCTCTGAACTCTAGATCAATTTATCCAGCTGCCTCTTGACATATGTTAAATAAAAGATATAGGAGGCTGTTGTTTTTGACTAAGCTCTTGCACTGGGCCCCCCAGATTACCAGACGACAAATCAAAATCGAGTCAATCATGCTAAAGTTCCATGTCACTAAAAAGATGAAGTTATTATTTGACCCACTGAGAAATCAGAATGAGAGATACCCAAATTTCCTGAAGAGGCCTGACAGCACAATAATTAAGTTCCCCTGCCTTAATCTTTCATCCTTTAATCCTTATTTTTTTAAAAAAATAAGTACCTGAAATAACTTCCATCAATAAAACCAAACTCTTGGAGCTGGGGATGTGGTTCTGTGGTAGAGTGTATGCCTAGCCTGCTCAAGACTTTGAATTCAGTCCCCAGCAACACACACACACACACACACACACACACACACACACTCTACCCCAACCTCTTCTGCTGTGCATGTCAGAACATATTCTATTTTATGGAATAAAGAACTTTCTACTCTAAAATGCATAAAATAAAGCCAAATGTGCTAGTCAGCTTTCTGTTGCTGTGACAAAGTACCTGAGAAAAATCAACTTAAAGGAAGAACTGTTTGTTTGGTTTAGAGTTTTAGTCCATGATCAGCTGGTTCCTTTGTTTTTAGGCCTGTGGTGAGGCAGAACATCGTGGTAGGGAGAGTGGTGAAATCCAACTGCTTGCCTCATGTTAGCTGGGAAGGAAGGGTGGGGCAGGAAGGGGCCAGGGACAAAATAAATCCTTCGAGAATATGTCCGCAGTCACCTACTTCTTTAACTAGGTACTATCTCCCAAAGTGTCCACTACCTCCCAATAGCCCATGAAACTTCCATTGATGAGGTTCAATCTCTCATGATCCAAAGGTCGCACTTTTGAACTCTGCAACAGTGAGGACCAAGCCTTCAACACCTGGGCTTTAGGAGGAAATTTTAGGTCCAATTCACAATACCAAATAAAGTCAGTTAAGATCTTTAAAATATCTATTTGCAATCTTTTTTTTTTTTTCCTGGTGCTGGAGATTGAACCCAAGGCCTTGTGCACATAAGGAAAGTGCTCTACCATTGAGCCACACCACCTGCCCAGGGCTCAGAACTCATTTTAAATTCCCCTGCCTCAGAAAAATGCTTTTCAAACTAGACCCTTCTTTGAAGCACGCACCACAATTCTTTAATTACTTGTTCTTTTAAAACACATATCCCAACTGACCCATGTAGACTTATT